AAGGCATGCTGGGAGTTTCTAAGTTGAAGGAAGCTTCAGAATTCCCTGGGGAGTAGGGGGGGCACATTAAGGTTGAAACCCTAGCAGCAGGTGACACACTAGCAAAATTGTATGGGAGTGAGATAGTCAGAGGGCTCAATGGGGAAAAGGGTTTGCCACCAAGCCTGACGACCAAAGTTCTGTCATTGAAACTGAGATGTTGGAAGGAGAGAACCGATTCCTACAGGTTGTCTTTTGACCTCCACACACATAAATAAATGAATAAATGAAATTTTAAAAATTTTAAGACAGAGTCTCACTATCTAGTCCTTGGGTATTCTAGGACTCAGTATACAGTTGGTCTCAAACTCACAGAGATCCAGCCACCTGCCTCTGCCTCCCAAGTGTGAGTGCTGGGATTAATTTAGGCAAACACCTGGGCTGGAGAGATAGCTCAGCAGTTAAGAGCACTGACTGCTCTTCCAGAAGTCCTGAGTTCAATTCCTGGCAACTACATGGTGGCTCACAACCATCTGTGATGGGATCTGATGCCCTCAGAGCAATAGCATACTCATATACATAGCATAAATGATCCCTTAAGTTAAAAAAAAAAAAAAACCGCCGGGCAGTGGTGGCGCACGCCTTTAATCCCTGCACTTGGGAGGCAGAGGCAGGTGGATTTCTGAGTTCGAGGCCAGCCTGGTCTACAGAGTGAGTTCCAGGACAGCCAGGGCTACACAGAGAAACCCTGTCTTTAAAAACAAACAAACAAAAAACAAAACAAAACCAAAAAAACCCCAATATTTATTTATTCATACAAGTGGGGTGGTCAGGCAACCTATAGCAATTGGTTCATTCTCTCCTTCTACCAGGTGCGTTTCAGGTACAGAACTTAGGTCGTCAGGCATGGAGGCAGGCCCCTTTACTCACTGAGCTGTCTTGCTGGCCCACCTCCACACAATTTTACTAGGATTTCAGCAACTTAAAAAGAATGAAGTAATTAGCCTTACCTGTATTTTCAGGCTTGTATTCTGTCAGTGAGGCCGGCTAGTTTGCTAAGCATCTGATTCAGAGGCAGTGCACAGTGCCCTCCCTCATGGACACATGGCGAGTTCCAGTGCAAGACTCAGGTTAGAGGAACTTTGCTTCCTCCTCTGCTACGGAACACGCCAACAGGACAGAGACTTAAGCTCGCTGTAAGCTCTTCTTATGCCACAGCCCCTGAACTCTCCTGCACACACTTTGCTATTCTGTATTTCTTTCCTCCTTGTTTGTTGCTTACTATTGCTGCCTACTTGTTACATGTTGTAACAGGATCGTGAGGGAGTGGGAGATTGCGGAGGACAGGATGTACACTCTGGAAAACCGGCCTCCATTTATTTATTTTTGGAGGTCTCAGGGACAGAACCCAAGGCAATTCGTATGCTATGTGATTACTCTACCACTGAATTACAGCCGGAAGCTCTGGTTTTTCTCAGACAGGCTCTCGGAGCATACACCAGTCTGACCTAGTACTTGCAATCCTCCTGCCTCTGCCTCCCGAGTAAAAGTACTGTTACTTAGCAGCCTTCTTAACATTGGCCAAGTTGGTGTGCTTTGTGAGCTGTAGTTTCTTTTCTTCCTTGTGGACACAAACTTTTGCCATACAGTCTTGTTTTGATGTTTAAATGACATTGCAAGCATAGAAACTAAGTTATGAAGTTATCTCTCCTCTCCTCTCCTCCCCTTTCCTTTTCTCCTCTCCCCTCCATCCCTTCCCTCCCCTCCTCTGCTCAGTTCTCTCCTCCCCTCCCCTCTCCCCTACTCTTCTCTTCCCTCCTTTGCTTTCTTCTTCTTCTTCTTCTTCTTCTTCTTCTTCTTCTTCTTCTTCTTCTTCTTCTTCTTCTTCTTTCCCCCCCCCTTCATTTTTCTGTTTTTGGTTTTTCGAGACAGGGTTTCTCTGTGTAGCCCTGGCTGTCCTGGAACTCACTCTGTAGACCAGGCTAGCCTCGAACTCGGAAATCCACCTGCCTCTGCCTCCCAAGCACTGAGATTAAAAGGTGTGTGCCACCACTGCCCAGCTCTCTTTTTCTTTTCTCTCCCTTTCCCTATCTTTTGCTGGAGATCAAACCTGGGGTTTCAGGCAAGCTAAAATTCACTCTACTACAGTGCCCCCCCCCCCCCCAGCCTGGCATCATCTTTTATTGACATGGAGTAGATTTATGAAACATAGGAGACAGCATTTGTCACAGTTTGCTTTTGACCTCTGTGATAAAACATTAAGACCAAAGCAACTTTGAGGGAAGTGTTTATCTCAGCTTCTAGATGTGGTCCACCATGAAAGGAAGTCAGGGCAGGAACTGAAGCAGAGGCCATGGAAGAGTGCTGCTTACTGGCTCGCTCCTCATGTGGGTCAGCCTGCTTTCTTATACACCCCAGGACCACATGCCCAGGGGTGTCACTGCCCATAGTTGTCCCTCTTCTATCAATTGTTAATCAAGAAAATGCCTCACGAAGAAGTTGCCTATAGGCCAATCTGACGGAGGCAATGCCTTAGTTGAGACTCCCTCTTCCCAAATACCCCTGGCATGTGTCAGGTTAACAAACAAAACGAAAATCATCGCCACCCCCAGCACAGTGCTGTACTGCAGGATTAGGAGGGTGGTCACTAGAGTCAGGCCTCTCTGTCTGTTCCCTTGTACAGATTAGCTTCTTCAGGCCTTTCTTTCCTCTCAGGAGGAATAAACAGTATGAATAGAAATAACGCCCTTCATAGCATTGATGTAAGGTTGGAACAAAAAGACGTGCATAAACCTCTCCCAACAGTGCTGATATACTGTGTTTAGTCAGTTTCTTCACAGTTATGAGAAACATTCCTGATTTAAACAGTTCAAGGGAGGAATTCTTTTAATTCATGATTTCCATCTTTGGTTCCTGGCTCTGTTGACCTGGGGCCCCTGCTTGCAGGAAGAACAGCATAGCATTAGGAACCTGTGGACCTCATGGTGGATAGGAAGCAGAAAGACAGTCAGGAAGAGGCCAGGGGACAAGATAACTCCTAATGACCTACTTCAGCTACTTAGGCCCCACCTCCTAAAGTTTCCAGCACCTCTCAAAATAGCATGCCAGCTGGGGGCCAAGCATCAAACACATGAGCCTTTCTGAAGGACACTACTTATCTAAACCATAACAGCTAATAAGCACCAGCAGTAGCGGCTGCTGGATACTAGGGAAAGAGAGGATTACATTTGGGGGCAGAAAACACGGAAAATTAGGGTCACAAGGTAGAGATGGGAGTTCTTAGATGTCAGTAGCTACAATTAGTCCATCCAGGAAGGCTACATAGCAAATTCGGACTTTCTCCTTGTCTTTGGACAATAGTTGGAAGATGGGTTGTCTGGCTGCAAGAGAACTCTCAGGGTAAGCATCCTGAATATCTTACAGTTTGGAAGCCAAGGAGTACAGGCTGAACGTGAAATAAAGTAGAGGGCTTGTGAATTTTTCTTGTTTTTTTTGTTTTTTTTTTTTTTTGAGACAGGGTTTCCCTGTGTATCCCTAGCTGTCCTGGAACTCACTCTGTAGACCAGGCTGGCCTCGAACTCTGAAATGCACTGGCCTCTGCCTCCCAAGTGCTGGGATTAAAGGTGTGTGCTACCACTGTCCGGCCGGCCAATCAGTGCTCTTAACCACTGAGCCATCTCTGCAGCCCAGGCCTGGGAATTTGATCCTTAGAACCCACGCAGGAGAGAACTGATTCCTAAAAGTTGTCCTCTGACCTTCACACTGCCCTCCAGCACCACACAAGTATGCAAACGGAGTGGAATTGGTCTGAACCAGTCTAGTTTCCTGGAATAAGGGGGAGACAACCATGCCTTTATGGATGTTTGTAGGTCTTCAGCTAGACTTAGAGGGTGACTAAAAATAAATAAATAAATAAATAAATAAATAGGACCCCTGCATAGTTGAATGGTGTGCTGTACAGACTTCAGCCAGGAACAAACTTCAGCCCGTGGGATTTGTTGCTGAAGACCAGATTCCTGCACAGTCAACTGAATCAACTGTGAAGCTTCATCGGACTCTGGGAGCGCAGACTTAAGGAGGATGATCTATATACCCAGGTAGGAAGAATGCTCCTTAACATCTGAAAAAACCTTGAAAGAATACTCAATTCGTCTCCCTGTAATGTCTGTACAGAAGTGGTGTTAGAAAATCTACCCGCTTTCAAGCAGAGTTCTTTAAGATGTCCGGAATCGAAGAGATTAATAATCTCTTGAGAGAGATGAGAAAATATGAGAAAGGCTTTCTAGAGGTCAAGTATGATCTAACAACCTCATCGGATTAAAAAAGGAAACTGAGGCAGGGAGTTGGAGTTATCCACTCAAAGTCAAATAGACATATAGATTCAATTCTCAGAAGTGTTCTATAGCTATTACCCCGAAAGTCGGAGACTTTCCTACTTTGTCTCATCTGGATGAGTTCAGGAAGAAAATTCTAGCTTTGTTTTTGTGGCAGCTTCTGAAGGCAACAAACAAGTCCCCTTTAAGGGCGTCCTCTCGTCCGGGTCTGGCCGGCTTTGATATGCCCCTGGTGTTATCCCGTTGGCTCTTTTGTGTAGCTTCTCGCCCCTTCCAAGATTCCCAGCCAATCACCTCGTTCCTCTCCAACTCCGTTGGGCTTTCAGGAATGTACCATATGGTCCATGCCGAGGGGGTGAGAGAGCAAGGGGGAGGGACTGGCAGCTATGCATTTCTTTATCTTCTGCTTGTGACCCGCGAGATTTTGATAGGACCGATCTTGAAGGTGACAACCGGGTCTCTGAGAGCGAGGAGCAGGAGTGAGGTGCGGGAGGACTGAGCAGGCGCGCCCCCGTTGGGGTCGGTGGTCCAGTCTGGAGGGCCGCAGCCCCCGCCCTCCCATGTGCTAGCCCCGCCCCGGCGGCGCCGCTCCTGCCGCCGCTACTGCTGCCGCTGCCGCGCCGGACGCTGCGGGCGAGCGCGCGGGGGCTGCGGCTGCGTGTCCCGGCGCGCGGCTGGGTGGCCCCGCCGGCCACGAGGACACAGCAGCATGAAGCAGAGGTGAGCGCCGTGCTCCCGGGGAGCAGCCACATCCCGCCCACGCTGCGCCTCGGTGTGCCGGGGGTCGGCGGCTGGCCCACGGGCGGCTTTGGCGCGGGTGGGCGCGGCGTCCCGATGCGTGGCTGGACACGTCCCGCCCGGGCAGCCCCGGGGTCCCAGCCCGCCCGGTGCCTCGTGCCTCCCTCTGGCGGACGCGTGGGTCCGGAGCGCTGGTTGAGCTGCAGCTCAGGCGAGGAAGCCCCTCTATGCTTCCCGCTCTGCCGGGCCCCTGTCCGGGTCCCTGACCTCCAGGAGTAGGGTACTAGGTCAGGTCGCGCCCTGGGAGAACTCAAGAGAGCCATCTCGCTAGTAGGAATGGGACTCAGCGGCTTGGACTGGGTGTGCCCAAGGAGGCTTTGTAGGGTGAAAGACCCAGCCTGGGGAGTGAGACTGCGCTCCCCGATGTCCCTAGTCTGAAGCCCAGCAGGCGCAGTGTGTAGGTTGCTGAGAACGTTATGGCAGGTGGCCATGAGAGAGAACTCTTGACATTTCCGTCTGGTGGTAGGCTGAGTGGGGTACAGGCAGCCACCGAGGCCTCTTATCTCGTTGCCACCCCCCTTCCTAACTGCCTTACAAAGTGACAACACTGTTGGAGGTCCCCATGGCACACTAGACATCACTAGCTTAAGAATAACCTTGGAGAGCCCTACCCAGATATGGGCTTGTCTGGTGTTTTCAGACAGCCGGCGTGATGGCCGATTGCAGGTTTCTGGCGTCTCTGCTTGGCAGGCATCGTATTATCCAGCTCTTTCACAATTGTTGCTGGGAAGAAGGGGTCCTTCAGGAGCCTCGGCGCAATTGGGAGCGTGGGTCAGCTTTGTATCTTGGCTGATTTTTTTTTCCTCCCGAGTCTGAAGACAGAAAGTTATTTCCAAGAATACACACCACATCCGTATTGCTTTGATTTTGATGCTTAACTCAGGCTTTAATTATGGCTTGTGTGAAACGGATTAATGCAGAGCCATGGAGATCGTTACCGATAGTGGGGTTTTTTGTTTGTTTTGTTTACTTAAAGCATGCTGTGGATGGATGGAGACAGTAGCATTTAAACACCAGGATATCTGTGTGTGTTTGACACAGTCGGTCGTTTAGGTTGATGGTGAGAGAGAGAGATTTTATGATGAGAAAGACATCTTACAGATTGCTGTTGCCGGCAGGAGTAAGTTCACTCATGACCCAGCCACAAAGGATGCTGTTCATTGCCGCTGCCTTCTGTGAGCACATCTCCCAAGGGCCTTGAAGAGGATATCACAAAGTCTGTATTTGATTGCCACATGCACTCAAGTCAGTTAGTTTTAGCCTTCCAGTGAGCTTTTCTTAGGCTCAAGGTTGTAAAGTGTAAAGTCTTAGACTGTCTTTTAGTGGTATACTAATGGCACGTGTCGAGTTCAGCATCTGCAGAGAATCCTTTAGAACTTGGACCTGGAGCTCTTTTATGTGTTTCACCTCGAGCTAACTTTTGAAAAATCTAAAACTTGACTGCCAACTGGTTGGGGCTTTTGCCCTTCGAGGATGTTTGTATCACATGGTTTCTAGGTGTAGGAGAGAAAATGGGCTTTGGAAATAATGTAGGAAAAGTGCTTTGTACAGTGCTTCCCACATATTAGGTGTTCAGTAAAAAAATAAATTATATGCATATATATTACATATATGCATATGTATGTATAAGTGAAACACTATAAGTGAAACACTTCTGGATTAGGAGAAATTAAACAAGGAAAATTGAGGTTCCTCATCTGTCTCATGCATTTTCTTGTTTTTGTTTTGTTTTGCTTTTTTTTTTTTCTCGAGACAGAGTTTCTCTGTATAGCTCTGGCTGTCCTGGAACTTACTCTGTAGACCAGGCTAGCCTTGAACTCAGAAATCCACCTGCCTCTGCCTCCCAAGTGCTGGGATTAAAGGCGTGCGCCACCACCGCCCGGCTTGTTTTGCTTTTTTTAAGACAAGTTTTCTTTGTGTAGCCCTGCCTGTCCTAGAACCCACTCTGTAGATCAAGCTGGCCTTGAACTCAAGGAGGTCCACTCACCTCTGCCTCTCGAGTGCTGAAATTAAAGGCTTGTGCCACCACTGCCTGGCTTGTTGGTTGTTTTCTCTAGAGACAGGGTCTCTTTATGTGTATTCCAGTCTGGCCTGAACTTGCTAAGTAACCCAGGCTGCCCCCTCCCCCCCCCTTTTTTTTTGACATAGTGTCTTTTATATTTTGGGCTTACCTTGGAGTCCCTATATAGCCAAGGATGACCAACCTGACCATGCTTCTTGGCAAGTGAGCTCCTGATCCTCCTGCGTCTGCTTCATGAGTACAGAGACTGCAGGTGTGACCAGTCTAACCAGCAGTATGTTGCGCTTTACGTATTTATTTTTGCCTAAAGGTATATGTGTGAGTGTGTCTGTGTGTGTCCACATGTGTGCAGGTGCCCTTGGGGGCCAGAGTGGGGCGTCAGAGCTCTGGAGCTGGAGCTACAGGTGATTGTGAGCTGTCTGACATGGTTGCTGAGAGCTGAATGGCAATCTCTTGGAAGAACAGTCAGTGCTCTTAGCCACTGAGCCATCTTTCCAGATCTAGGGCTGCACCGTGAAAGATAGGATGGCACCTGTTCTAGAAGAGATCCTGGCACTCACTAGGAGAGCTGACCCTTTCTTTGATCTGTTGATTACTCTGATAGGCAAGGATTTTACTCCGTGGATTGACGTGGCCAAGTAGAACTAGAATCATGACTTAATTTTTTCAGGCATTGATGTCTGAGAAGTGGCCAGGATGGCAGAGGCTGGACCAGCAGGCAGGAGTAGCCGCTTAGCTTTCATGGACTCTGTCTGCTCTGGGCTCGGCAAGGAGCCACCATTTGCCTCCTCCCTTCTCGCAGCTGGTTGTGTCAGCAGATTAAAAGGCTATCAGAGCTAATGTACTTAGAAAAGTAAGGCCCATCATTGGTTTGTTTCGTGATATTAGGTGTGACATTTTTACAGATGCAAACTCTGGATTCAGTTACTTCTTTTTCTTTGATGAAGTGAACTTCCTTTTTTTTCATTGATTGATCCTCTTTGGAGGCAGGTACCTGGGCCTCTCTTAGCCAGGCAAGCACTCACCACTGAGCCACACAACCCCAACCCCATGGCATTGTTATTACTTGCCTGTAATGCAGTCAATTTTGGTTTTGTTTTTGTTTTTCGAGACAGGGTTTCTGTGTGTAGCCCTGGCTGTTCTGGAACTCACTCTGTAGACCAGGCTGGCCTCGAACTCTGAAATCTACCTATCTCTGCCTCCCAAGTGCTGGGATTAAAGGCGTGCAACACCACTGCCCGACTGTCAAATTATATAGTACAGTGTTTTCCCAATTTATAGATGAAGAAACAGAAATGATGTGATTGGCTGTGAATTCACATTCGCTGATCCTTGTGTTGGATTCTTTTCATCTTGTATTCCACTGACACCTTTGGAGGAAACCACTGGTCCACACCCCTCTTGCTCTTGTGCTGAAGGGTTTATGGCAGACCACTGTGCTTTTCCATATGTCACCGTTCTTTGATTGCCAGTCAGTGCCTCAGCGCCTGGGCTAGGTATACATCTTCTGTTTCTCCTCACAGGTGTGTTTAACTTTTTCTACACAATTTCCCTATTTCATACATGACACACTAGGGCATGGTGAGCTCCAGGGGCAAGGGCATGGCAGAAAGCCCTTGACTGAAAGCAAGGCTAGATTCCGACCTAGGGTCCTACTCTGGACAGTGTCACCACAGCCCCATGCTTTCCTGACTCCTGTTACTCTCCCTGCCCCTCCCCCACCCCCTGCATTTGGGGAAAAAAACAGAACTGAAAAAAAATTTAAATTTGGAGAGTGTGAATAATGAAATAGATTAATAAAAGCAGACAGGACAGTTAGGACCAGAGAGAATGGAAGTGGTTCAAGGGTTGGGGAAATGATTCTCCGACCTGCAGCCTGCCCTTAATGCTCAGGCTTATCGTTGTTTGCTTTTTTTTTTTTTTGGTTTTTCGAGACAGGGTTTCTCTGTGTAGCCCTGGCTGTCCTGGAACTCACTCTGTAGACCAGGCTGGCCTTGAACTCAGAAATCCGCCTGCCTCTGCCTCCCAAGCGCTGACATTAAAGGTGTTTGTGCACCGCTACTCCTGATTAGTGCCCGGGCGTTCTCATCTGCGGCTGGCCTGGCACTTTGGCTGAGGTCTGCAGGAAGGCAGGTGCTGCCTTTCTGCTCTAGCTGGAAAGTTGGACACCTGCTTCTTTCTTGGTGTTTAGCTCTCAAAGATAATAGAACACATTCTGGGAGTTATGTGGGAATTAGAGGGGACATGGTGTGGAAATTCACCTAAATTCATGTAGTGGACTTTCCCTTCCCTTCCAGTCAACCCCTGTCAGTCTTTGGCTCCATTTTTCAGAGTCCTCCGCCACCTAGGTACTTGGATGTACCATTGGGCAAGATGGCATTGCTGTCCTAGTGAGGCCCAGTCATGTTTTCTTAATGGTGGTTCAGCTGTCTGAAGGCGAGCAGAGGCAACTGTTCAAGACAGGAAAGCTGTATTCTCAAGCATTCAATGACTTAATTCATTGGCTGCTTAGGCTTGTACAAGAGGAGACTACTGCATGTTTTAAAAAAAAAAATGAAAGGAAGGAATCACCAGGGTAAAGGGAGGAGGAGGAGGACCATAGAAGGGATCACCAGGGTAAAGATAGGAAGAGGGGGTCTTTTCCTCAGTAAAAGGTGGGAGGATTGAAGTTTCTGCTGCACACTAGGAGGCCCCTACCCCCAGCATCTGTCAAACGTGGTATCTGCCTGCCTCTATGGTTGAGACTGGCCGTGAAGTTGAGGAGAGGGGATGATGGCCAGCAGAGGGGGCTTTCTGCACTGCAAGGGTCTGCTGGTGTGGTTACATTGTAGATGCGCTGACAGGCTGCTCATTCTGACAAACTCTGGGAAGAGGGCATCATAGCCAGTGGCTAACCAGACAC